CTGCGTATAATTAGTATCCCTGGTTAAACTTTACGTGGAGTAAATGATCGTAGCGCCTAACCACGATAATCATGAAATATATGAAATAGAACAAGCAGCTAGTGATTTTTTGATACTATCATATGAATCATCGCTACGCAGCGGTAAACAGTCGTGTCTCCGTCGCGCACCGCTTGCTTTACAAACTGTGTTGTTCAATCATTCTTCAAATTTGATCAATGTGCTTAAGTAACCAAAAAATGGTAATAATGTCCTCAAGCGCTCAAAAATTAGTGCAGCTTGCACTGGAGGAGGAAATCGATTCTCGAGAATCCAGTAGGTACAGCATAATTGATATTATAGGTGTCCGAGCCAAAACAGAAACATTATGATGATGATCGTAAACTACTTTTACATATTAAAAATAACAAGTCCTTCATTAAATTGTATTATTCACAAGTTTCTTCTACGTGGACACACACACATGGAAGCTGATCATATCCATGCACTTATCGAACGAGTTATAAAAAAACAACCATGAAAATATGTTTTCAAGATGCAGTTATAGCATAGATCCTCTAGAAAACCGATAGGGTTACCACTAGAACTATATTCGCCGCGTCAAACCCCAAAAGAAGTTAGCAAGAAAAAGCACGATTATCTTCTCATGCTTCTGCAATGGATACCAGAAGCATTTCATGTTTTTTATAAAAATATTCCTGTGCTGTGTCAACAAGATGATGACGACGACGACGATTGAATATATATTCCCCAGACGTCATTTTTTGTAATAATAAAATGTAGCCTATTTCCACCAATTGTACTTACTGTTTTTCATCCCATGCTGCACCTGGTTTTAGTATCATAGTAAATAGTCGTAACTCACAAAATAATCTGAATATCCAATTCTAAGATCATTAACATGAAGCATTACTGTTCTGTGTACCACATAATATGTTTTCCCAAAAAACTATATTCGCATATTAACAGTAACATGAACAAAAAGCCATTCTGCTACTAACTCAATCTTTAATTTGCTTGTTCTCTGAATTGCATTATATGGAGTTACTACTATATACCCCTAAGGCGCAGAATTATATTTGAATAAGAAAATTAAAAAGAAGTCAGTCTCATCACTTAACTTACAGACCTCATTCTTCGCATACCGTAGGGCGTAAAGAAGCTTATGATCTGAAAAGTATAATTGTATACCTAAAAACCCTTCTCGTAAACTACACTTCACAGTCGAGTTGTAGATATAACTTTTTTTATCTTGATTTCTGAATTTCCACTGAAAAGTACTATTTTGCTTAGTTTTTGCATCGACCATCTCTAGTACTATTTCATTTTCGCATATCCATTAGGTGTTGCTGTCCACGTTATCTCAATAAGTATCGACGATGTAAGTATTGCGCTGTTCGAATTTAAAATAGTACTTTCTTTTTCAAATTTTGTTTCCTCTAAATCACAATGTAACCAATTTCCATCGGTTTGTATTTTCGCCTTGCCGTCTGGGTTTGTTAAGTGTGATCTATTAAATCCTTGAATATAATGAAAAACAAACGCCCCCTGTCAACCTCAGAAAAAAAGTCTAGACTGTCTTCATTCCTCCCTAGAGCATCGTGTAACTCGACAGGAGGAAACAGGTTATTTAGTAAAAATTGGCCAAATCACGTTTTATCCACTGCCGCCTGTTCCAGGGTGGATAGAAATGGCGGAAGTGACCTGTTACGCTGCCGTTAAAGAGACGATAAAACTACCCTTCGCGAAAAACTACCCTAACGGAAAATACATGTAATAGATAAGCCACTTTTCCAGAGTAAGTCCAGATTTACTCATGCTGTTGCTCGTTTCCGTATTTCTACTCAGCTCGTGAAGAACTTTGAGGTTGAGGTTCTATATACAAATTCACACATACTGCCCAGAAGCACGCTTTAGTTGGGTTAACTGAGTTTTTGTCGTATTGAAGAAGCCAAGAAGGCAAAGTTCAAATACCGTGATTGCTCAAAGGAGAGGAGCGCGAGTGAGCTGCAACAGCGGAATGATCTAGCAGACCAAGAGAGCGACAGCATGAAGGAAAGAGCAGAGGAATAAATTCCAATGGGTATATCGTTAATCAGAAGCTGGTTTGAGATTCTCGGGAAATGTTATCAATTAAATTGCCCCTTCGTCAAGCACATAAGTAAAAAGAATGTATTCGGGGCGTGTAACCTCCATCTGAGCTTTTATTGGTACAAAATACTTACTAGATCTAAACAAATGATAAATGAGTTTTTTCTTGTAGTTAGTTGACGGAAGGCATCAATGACAAATCATGTACTTGTTAATTTTTATTTCCAAGCGAATGAGTTCTTTACCCATATATTGTAAATGGATGCATGCTAGAATGTCTGTTGTTTGACCAGGTGCAACATCGAGTATTAGAAACCTTCACTGCTCCCCATACTCACGTTCCTGGGCAGAGATAATTTCCAAGTATTGAGTCCGACGAAGCAAATACCATATTCCTTCTTCCCAATCAGTTCACAGGAATCGGTTCGCCACTATGAAGTCCATGTCCAAAGCGTGATCATCTATGAACTCATTATGAATCAGACTTACCGTACTCATGCTACTTAACAAGAAACAAGAACAAAATTGAGCAACGATTTCTGCACAACAAAAGAGACGCCATTCTTCAGCTCACTTGCTGGTACCCTTGACTGGCAAGGAAGCAATACTGCCTTACTTAGATATAATATAACTTCATTTACTACGTTTTTCTTAAATTTTAACGTCAATTCATTTCTTTTATGACTAAGTCTCAAAATATATCATTCCAGATGTTCTATAGTAAAAATGCTGATTTTCACAGTTTATCAAATATTTTATGTTAGTTAGATTTCCTGAGAATAAAAGCAGTGAATCAATTTATCAAAGTGAAAAAGCAGTTGTTTTCAAACTATACTGTTTTTTTCCTCTGTATGATACAAATACTGCATTTTCACACTTTATTGCCTACTGCTTTGTGCCAACGTATTTGGTTTTTTTAAGTATTGAGTATATTATTACATAAATTAATACCATTTCTATTTATATAGTTATTTTTGTTAAATCTATTTATTAAATGTAATTATATATTTATGCAATTGAACTATTAAATGCTATTTATGCGAAATTCGATAATATGAAAAAGTTATATCAAAATAAAATATAGTTCTTATTTTTGATTATACCGGTCTTCCTTTGAAAAAATAATATAAATAAATTGAGGAAACTACAAAAAGGGCAGTAAGACTACGGAAACATCAACTCACATGCTACTGCTTGTTGATTTACGACAACCAGGGACGGAACTTCATTAATCCTAAGCATCGATGGAAACTATGTTTCTAAATCACATTCAAATGTCTCGTTATAAAGTCATATAATATTGCAATATTCATTCAGTTTTGTTCTGTCATGATAATACCATTTATATAGTTCAAAAAAATCCAGCATTTTGACCTCAATAAATTATTTCAGACTTTGATTCTTATACTTTGCTGCGTTTTACTGAAGGACTGCAGAATAGGTTTTTGGTAATTTACACAGCGGAAATAGATTCGAACTTTAGCTCTAATCTACCACTAAGCTATGGTCCAATTCTGTCTTTGACATCTACGATCTCCTGGCTACTGGCATTAGTAATATTCACGCTTGCCTGATTGTAGAACATATAAAATCAGTTCAGCTTTATCTGTTATTCTGATTATCGTGTTATTTACTTTTCCTGCACGCCCCTGGTATCTTAAATCTCCTCACACCGGATGCTCTGATCTTGGCAATCCGACAACGCCGTTTTAAAAACGAGGGAGATTGTTATCACCTCTCCTAATTTACTTATGCTCTCCTCTTAAGATCTATTCACAACAATGGCGTCATGAAAACGGGGAACGATGTCGATCTCCTTCAAGGCAACGGGCGTCATCCCATCTCTTTTTTTTTGTCTTCCTGGAGAATCAGAGATAGCTCTAATTTGTCAAGGCTTTATAGGTGCCTTTGTAGGTGTTTAAATCTTACGCGACCGAGTACATGGAATGATTTGCTCTGGTAGTCTAATCATAGCAAATTTCCACGAAATAATTGTAAAGTCTGGTTTTATTGGAGCAAGTTGTTCAAGGGTATATTTGAAATACGGACGCATAAAATGGGTACATCAATTTTTGTGGGAAAACTTTTTATTTGACAACAAAGAATGATAAAACGTGTTTTTTGGAATTCAGTCAAAAGTGTTGACAGGAACGACAAAACTTTTTATATAAGATTTTTAGGTATTTATGAGACCTAAAAAACGAGACCACACGTAAAAAGATCCGACTAATGGCAAAAATGTTATGGCCGAAAAACGAGGCAAAATGCAGGTTTTGGCACTTGTTGGTAATGCGACGATAATTTCACGCAACTTCTTCAAATTCTTCGAATCCGTAGGATTCATACTTTTAAATAACAACAACAAAAGTAGATTATATTGGTCAAGTAGTTGTTTGAGAATTTCTAATTGTTTATCCCAAAACACCTGTTTTCCGACCATCACTACTAGTTTATTGAGGGTTCGTTCAAAGAGCATTTAATAGCAAAACACACGAGTTTACTTGACTAGTTATTTTCTTGTTACTGTGAATACGCAAAATGGCTATTGCAAATTAATTGCGGTTCAGTCATTACAAAACCAATGTTCAACATGTAATGTCTTAGTTGGTATCAATAATACCCGGAAGTATACTAATGGTTTATTATATATCACCGATAACTGTTACAAATCCGGAACCCCGACATACTGTGTGTCAAACGTATCCCGGTGAGAGTACTCATCGTACATGCGCAATTTTCGGGGAACCAGGGGCGTACTTAATATACTACATTCATCTCCCCCGAAAATTGTTAACAGTGATCAGATGGGTAACAATAAAAAAAAGAAACAATTAATGAATGGTTAGTATTGGAGCCTATCCGGTACCTTACGGATACGTATGGGTCGTGTAAGTTCAGCCTGTTCACCAATGGAGCTAGAATCCGAGTCACTGACATACACGCGTTCACTATCCGCGATTCCGGCATCCACAAACACATCATCAACCGAACTACCTTCAGAAGTATTGCTGGCGCCATCACTATTGGAAAAAACGTTTACAGTGTGCGGTAGCTCCACGCAGGGTGGGTAGACCAACGAATAATCATCATTTAGTTCTCTGATCTGATTAGTATGTCTTTTCCAAAGGAAATTTGAATCTAGTGGTCGAACAACGTAAACGTTTTTCCCTAAAATTTTAACAACTTGTCCTTTACACCAAGTTACTTGTTTATCGCGATAATCTTTAACCAACACAATTTGGTCAATATTAAAACATACTTTCCTATTTCCTCTGAAGTATTTTGCGTTTCTTCGTTGAAAACGTTGTATGTTTTGGTAAACATTTTCAAGTTCAACTTTTTCATTGTCTTGGACTGAGCTTGGTCTAAGCATGCCAAATCGAGTTCTCAACGAACGACTTAAAAATACTTTAGCAGGAGAATAACCAGTAGAACAGTGAACAGTATTCCTATATGTCATTAGGAATTGAGCTAATAGTAAATTACAGTTCTTTTGATCACTAACCTTTTTCAAAAAAATTTTAACAGTTTTTACGCTATTCTCAGCTGCACCATTACAATGAGGTTCATAAGGCGGAATAGTTATTAGTTTAATACCATTAACATTTGCAAATTGTTTAAATTCTTCTGACACTAACTGGGGACCATTATCACTTGCAATAGTCTTAGGCAATCCAAATCTAGAAAAAAGTTCTCGCAGCTTTGTAATAGTCATGTTAGTGGTAACAGATGCGATCGGAAATACTTCAAGCCATTTGGAAAAGGCATCAACGACAATCAAAAAGAAATTGTTTTTCTTCGGTTCAAAAAAATCTATATGTATCCGCGACCAAATGCCCTCGGGTATTTGACAACATTGTAACGGTGCCTTGGCCGGCGATGATTGCAAGCGTTGACATATGTTGCACTGCTTACTAACACTTTCAATATCATCATTCAAGGACGGCCAACAAAAGTAAGATCTCGCAAGATACTTCATTTTAACAATTCCCAAATGGGTAGCATGCAACTCCTTCAATATCACCTCTCGTAACTGAAATGGTATGATAACTCGATGTCCCCAAAGCAGGACATCGTCTTCAACATTGATTTCATTTTTCCTACTGAAATAAGGTTTCAATTGATTACTTTTATGACTTGCAGGCCACCCCTTTTTAACAAAATTGAGTACCTCAGAAAGTACTGAATCTGAGGATGTAAGTTCTCTGACCTTGTTAACATCGACTGGTATACTAGAATCGGAATTAGTGAGATAATTTAAATGAATGGGGAAGTCGATCAGTTGCACAGACATGTCATCTTCAATCGGCATTCTGCTTAAGAAGTCAGCTACATTTTGAATGGATGACACATGCTTGATATCAAAATTGAAGCCACTCAGAAAATGTGCATATCTCTGCAGTCTATTTGCTGCCATCACTGGAACACCCGTTTTAGGTCCAAAAATTGACATGAGTGCCTTATTATCTGTGACCAAGGTAAATTTTCTACCCCACAAATATTGGTAAAATCGTTTAATACTCCAAACAATCGCGGTAGCTTCTTTATCCAAAATAGAGTATGCCAATTCGTTTCTCGAGAGAGTTCTTGACGCATAACAAATTGGCTTTTCGACATCATTTTCAAAAACATGAGATAAAATTGCTCCCACTCCATAGTCCGAGCTATCAATAGTCAAAGTAACTGGTAGGTCAGGATTATAATGCACCAACACATCGTCAGAACATAATGCAAGTTTAATCTACTCAAATGAATCCTGACATGTTTTATCCCATGACCAACTTACATCTTTTTTCAAAAGATTATATAAAGGGTGAAGTATATCTGGGAGATTTCTGATGAAACGATTATAATAAGTGATACTGCCTAAAAAAGACTCAAGTTGAGTGAAATTTTCTGGTGGAGAAATGTCGCGTATTGCCTTAACTCTTTCTAAACTTTTATGTAGGCCTGTCTCGTCTATAACAAACCCTAAATATGAAATGGAATCAGCCAAAAACACACACTTTTCTTTTCTAACAGTGAGACCACATTCGGAAAGACAAAGTAAAACCCTTTTCAAATTTCTAATATGATCTTCTTTATCGATACCTGGAACTAAAATATCATCAAGAAAAACACATACACGGGGCATTTTATTGAACAGCTGCTCCATAATTCTTTGAAATTGTGCTGGAGCGCAGTTTATTCCAAACGGCAATGTATTGAATTCGAATAAACCTTTGTGAGTCGAAATAGTCGTAAATTTTTTTGAAGAGTCCTCGAGCTCTATTTGATTGTAATCCGATGAGAGATCAATTTTGGAAAATTGCTTTCCATTTTTCAGTTTTGTGAATAAGTCGTCAATTCTAGGCAAGGGAAATTTGTCCACTAGAATAGCTGAATTAATAGTTACCTTATAATCACAACAAATTCTTATTCCTCCATCTTCCTTCAAAATTGGTACTATTGGGGTACCCCATTCTGAAAACTCTACTGGAGATATTATACCATTAGAGACTAATTTATCTAATTCCTCCTCCACTTTACCTTTAATTGCAAATGGTAACGGTCTAGGTTTATGGAAAATGGGATTTGCATCAAGTTTAATATTTATGGAGATCTTACACTTGTTGAACCTTCCCAAATTGGTTGCAAAAACGCCAGGAAACTCATTACATAGAGCATCAACAGCATCGTTGTTCAAATAATGAATTTCTCTAAATCCCATATTATAATTCCTAATAAAATCTCGACCTAGGAGCAATGGATTGTTACCATCAACAACAAAAAAGCGTAGGATGCTATCTTTGAAATTAAATTTAACATTTAAGTTGATTGTGCCATGTGGGATGATCTTATTGCCAGAAAAATTAATCAAGGAAACATTTGTTTTTTCATGACGTGAGCACCAAAATATGTTTTGTAAACATGAAGTGGCAAAACACTAACAGCTGATCCACTGTCAAGTTCAAATTTCAACATGACATTCTCAACTAAAATATCGATATATAGTGGCACATCATTGTTGCTTCCTAAGCTAGAAATACTTAGAACTGGGGATGAAAAAACGTCTGTATAATCCTCAGCAATATCATTATTAGGAAAAACATAATTAACGTGCTTAGGTGAGGATTGTTTTTTCTTTTTACACACCACACTGAGATGACCCCTACCGTGACAAGAGTTACAAATATATTCCTTATAGGGGCATACATTACTGTTGTGGTTCCTCCCGCAGCGGAAACAGCCCGGAGAGCGACCAGACGATGTGAACGGCTGTAGCTGCGGCAACGCCATGTTTGAGCTGTTGCCCCCACTCCTGCGCGTGCCTCCTTGGCTCCGCTGCGCTGCAGGTACTGCTGTCCCTCTATGATACCGTTGAGGATCTTGATGCTGATCGGCAGTGGCACCAACATTTGAATTATTTTGTGTAATTCGAAAAACATCGGATTCTAAGACCTCGCTTTTAACTTCACCAACTGGGTCTCATATTACTAGCGTTGCTTCGATAATTTTGGGCTTTTCAACAGCGTTATTTAGGGTGGTGTTCTCGTTTAGGCTGAATAATTCAGTTCTCACCTTCCCAGGATTGAACTGCGTAACAAAAATGTCCGTTAGCTTGGACTCAAGCTGCTGGCCAAAATTGCAATAGCGAGCTAAACCTTTAAGTCGTACACTCCATTCTAGTGCCGTCTCATTTCCTGATTTGGATGCACTATAAAACTTCTGCCTTTCGACCCATACAACAGTAGTTTTACCATAGTAGTTAGACCATAACTGAATTATGTCTTGGTATGGGGTTTCTTCCGGCTTTTGCGGCATACATAAATTTTCTAATAAAATATACGCCTCCTCAGACAAACTATACAGCAAATGAGCTCTCTTGTCAGCTTCTTCAGTGACCCCGTGTACTATAAAATACTGCTCTAACCTTTTGAAGAAAACTTCAAACTCGTTCTCCTTGGGATTGAATGTGAGCACGGGACCCGCTGCTGCAACTGCCATCTTTCTTGTGCACAGATTGGTTCACCAACAACTGGAGGTTTCAACACAAACGGGGAGTTTACACACACTTAACCTCACCCGGCGAGTTCTTTAATAACACTCGTCGCCATTTTCTGCAAATCTCTTTCAAAGGAATTAACAGAGTTGCATTTTAATCAGCTAAGGCTCAGAAGCAGGTCTAGTTGAAACTAACAGTTTTCATACTTCTTGAAGTCGTGAAAGCCATTTAATAATAATAATGAACTAGTTAGACTGGTACTGATGTATAAACAAAGTTTGACTGAAAAACAGCAGAATGGCGGAACTGCCTAGCATCCTCTTTCTTCTTCGTAGTAGCTATAGCAATGAATTAGACGTAATTATAGCAATTTACATCTTCAACAATCTGGGCTCTAACAAGATAAATATATGATGCTCTTGCTGATATTTATATCGTTATAGGGTGTCAAATTTTTCTCGATTCATTGTCAGATTTACCATCACGTTACATGAAAGTCTTCAGTCTTTTAGCTATGTTATACGGGCGAGGGAAAACACAGACTCATACACCTACATTACCATAAATATGCGCGTGTGCATTTGTATAATTCCTCTGATGAGATACAAGCAAACGCTTTCAGTTAGAATGCAACTCAAGAAATCTCCATTGCTAAAATACCGACGTTACCAGGATACGTGTTGAGCAACACATCAGAATTACAATGACTTATCATAAATCTATAACGCTTGGCTCAAGTCTTGGAATGTTCATATAACAATTCGATACTGAAGTGAATAAATGATTGTTATGGATCTGGTTTTGAACCACTGTTAATACAGAATTTCTCGTTTCTGGATGCAACTAGCATCTGATTTGCATATAATGATAAGTTTTCCTCCAGAATTGTAAGGGACATTCTCAGGACACTATAGGAAAAGAGAGACATTTTGCAGTCGTGGACAAAAGCTCGGTGTTCTACCGAAATTAGGTACAGGTTTCATAAAAAAATGAATAACTTTCTCTCGGTTTGTCAGAATACCATGGAAAATTAAGAATGTGGCGTGTTCCAAAGAACCATACCCGAAGTAAAATAGAGAAGGGAGAAAAGTGACCTGCCTGTTTTAAAAGTTGATACTCATCCGTTTTTAAGCTCATCGAAATGGTTATGGTACGACACATCGATATTTACAATCGAGAAATAGGTACAGTTGAGAAAATCAGAAATTTTGGTTTTTGCTTAATTTTTCAGGATTCCATATAGAATACACCAGGTAGTTGAAAACGAACAAGGCATTCTACTTTGAAAAAATGCCGCATTGAGCAAACAGATTAGAATATTCCTCGGAAACGGACTTGCAGGATATATGTCAGATTACATTTTCCAAATCTTCCAGACTCTTTTATAGTCCAACAATGATCGATACTAAGATGAACATTCCGAGTTGGAATGCTAGTTTCTGTCGATACGCTGCTGGAAGGTTGTTAAAGAGGATATAAGAGAATTTCGGCAATCACCAATATCACATATGTACGTAAACATCAATGCTTACGTATGTGGAATATCTGGTTGGCAAAAATTTTAATACCTTTGTAATATGTAAAATGCTGCTAGTCAGGAAGAAAGCAGGAGAAAATTTGGATTTTTCACTATCGACATTTATATCATTGAAGTACGCATTTGACAAAACAATCAGCTGATCACCAGACATCTATCAGAGCTGTTGTGATATTTAACCAAATAAATATTGATTACCCGCCAGTATTTGCATATCAACCTAACGCTCTACCTTGTTATCATTGGTGATTACTCCTCCTAGATATTTGAACCCTTCAGTCACCTCGAACTGATGGTTATTTATTGCCACATACACCCTCATTCGTGGTCGTCCTTGTTTTGAAATGAATTATTTTATTTCCGTTTATTTTTGAACCCACATTTAGTGCAGTATGTTCAAAGTTCGTGTTTAATGATGTTTAATCTCATATCCTAACTAGCACAAAGGAGTTACACATATACGTGAAAACGGCACCAATTTGCTGGCTAAGGACGCTGAGTTTCACCATTGCACTATCTTGGACAGTTGACTGAGACCTATGTCTGTCCATAAAGTCCATAAAGATATGGTGTATATCCTGATTGTAATCCCAGTGCCTTTCAAGCGTTTTCAGAATAATAAATACCTGGTCTGAAGCCACAATGTTAAACACCAACCATTTTCTCGGTGTATGGCAGTAATGTATTTAACAACACTACAACTAATACCTTATACGCACTACTGACTAACGAAATACCTGTAGCTCCTGCATAAATCCTCTTTTTGCTTCTTAGAACACTGATATAGTTGTGGTCACCGTTCTTGGTGGGTCAAAGAATGACTACCAGTATCCCTTTATATATCTCTATCTCCCTCATACGTAGGTACACATGCAACCTGCCCCTGTGTGTTAACGTTTGTTCGGTAAACTCAAAGACGTACGAAAACTTGGTCATTACGTATGATTGCCCTTCAATCATGTTTTTCAGAGTGATAACTTACTTGACATCGGCGTGCAATTCGAGTTGTCCTGTTATCAATCATCAATCTAAAATTGTACGAAGTCTGGAAATACGATCAATCGAGAAGGCCGACAGCTCGTGCTGAATTCATTAGAGTATTTCCAGGAACAGAATGAAAACAGCGGTCCCCTGTTGTCCACTTCATGCGTACTGGAGAGAGTAGCAGATGCGCTGAAGATTAGTCTGTGCAGTGTTCCCCCCATGGTACGGAGACTTGATGTGTTTACCTATTTCATATGGCGTTGATGACTCAACCGCCAAGAACGGTGACGACAACTGTACTATCGCTTTAATCGATATCGTGAACTTTTCGGTTCAAGACCACCTTTTGTAATCAATTAAGCAACAATACAGACTAAGCCTGAAGATTTGCCGTTATTTTTTCTGCTAGGCTTATTGGCAATAATCAGCTCAATTTGGGTAGGACAACAGAAGCATAGCACAACAAAATAACCTCAATCGGAGTTATACCGATCTAAAGAAAAATGACAGCTCGAGCGCCATCTACCACTGTTCGCAGTAGCTCATTCTGGTACATGGAACTGGCAATCTTCTTCTTCTGCTCAATGGCTTCTCAGCCTGAATTGAGCTTTGGTCTCCACCTTCTGCCTCCAGCTTATATCCATATATTCAATGTTATGAATTACGCCAGACAGAAGATGTACTTATACCCCCACACAGACTATCTAACTTTAAAAGGGCCCAATGTTATGGCCATAAAGTTGTACAACAGGTTACCAAAATGTATAAAAACCATACCAAATATCTCTGTTTTCAAGGCAAAAATGAGAACAATTATGTTGAATAATGCGTTCTATAGCATTGAGGAATATTTCAACTGTGTATTTGAACGATGTTCTCTTTGTATTCCTCAACGTTTGTCTCATATGGTGATGCTGTTTAGTCATTTTGCTTCTTATGTTTTATATATACATGATATACCTGAAATTGACCATTCCAATAATACTAATCGTGTAGTCATCCGGAAATAGAGTTATTTTTATTATTTAGTCAGGTTTTTATTATTATTGCTATTATTATTATTATTATCAAATTTTAAGCTGCTCTTCTCTACGACCGTACTCTCAACATGTTGTGTGTGTGTCTTCGGAAACTTGTTATATTTGTCTTCTTGATCTTTCTTTAGATTCTTTGCCCTGCATTCCACTGTTCAGTTCTTTTTCAGGAAGTCCATGATCCTCCTGACCACGTGTCACGCTCATCGTAGAAGTTATAATTAACTTCCTTAGTGTATGGCAATGTGGTATGGACAAAAATGAAACAAATTAATGTAACATTGATTTCCTACATCACTAATTCATCTTGAAGATATATTAGCATCACCTAGCATGTGTATACCATGTGGCATCATTCCTTTGACTGCTCGAAGTGGCCGACGTTCGATATGTTAACTGCAAACTTCCCAAAACCTTTCACCGTCGTCGCTTTGTGCTTTCCTACCTGGCTGGTAAGTTGGAATCGAGGCGACCGCAGCACAATAGTCAGTCTGTAGCTACGCCATCCGAGTAGGTATCGGCCGAGGGCCCAATATGCAAGTGACGTGAAACGAGATATATTCGAAACGTCAAATTGGCGTTGCTGGCACCGCCGTCTGTGATTCTGAAGGCGATGTAATTGCGTCCCGACGTCAGAGAAGTTTGCTACATTCTCGCCACGGCGAGTGAAAGGCGATTACTAGGATGCTGCTGTGTGAAGGCTGTTTCAGATACTAGGGTTGCTCAAAAGGCTTTTGTGCGACCTGTATGGACAGCCACATATTGTCTGCCCTCATATTAGAAAATGTTCTTTACCGCGGTATATTGAAATATTTTCGAATGAAAACTTCTATAACTGCTGGTGAGCGCCGAAAGCTTCTTAATGTTCATTTTACATTGTAAACTATGCTTTTACAGTTTCGGGACGACCCATTTAATAAAACTAGTAATTGAAAACGTTTCCACAAAAAGCCATAAGAGTAACATGGGGGTTTCAAATTATTACTAAGATGCCATACTGTTCTCCAGCAGATAACTTTTTAATTCGTTCTCAAAGGATTTCTTACTGGTTTTCACTTTTATATAATCGGGCAGACGATTGAAAATTTTCGGTCCCATTACAGTGGGCGAACTTGTAGTTGTATTACATCTAGCAAATGGAACTAGCAGTGAATTTTTTTGTCTTGTATTTATATCGTGTGTATTACCTACTAATGGGAATCTGTTTTTATAGTCAAACACGTATAAACATATCTGTAAAATATATAGGCACGTAAGAGATAAAATTTTAAAAATGATAAAACTGCTTAAACGTGACTCAGTGTTAGGGATACCAACAATACTTCTAACAATCTTCTACTGCGCAATGAAAACATTCAAAGCATGGGTAAAACTACCCCATAAGCAAATTCCATATTGGAGTCGAGATTCGACCTGTGCGTAATAAACTGATATTATTTGAGGTGAATTTAATACTGTACGTAGGTTTCTGAACATGAAAGTAAGCGAATTTAATTTAGTTGTTAACTTTTCACATTGAACCTTCCATGATAACGTGTCTTCAATGTGCTGACCCAAAAATCTGACTGAATTGCACTGGTTCGTTTGAAGTGTTGTGCTGCCAACCGTGATGTGTATATCACCAATATGATTCTGAATGTTATGGAATCGTAGACATTTTGTTTGCTCTAAATTCGTGTAAAGGTCTATATCATGTAGGTATGATATTAGATCACGAACGGTAGTATTACAGCGTTAGACAAACTGTTATTATCAAAATCGCTTATAGTTAATGAAATGTCGTAGTTTTGCGCTAGGTCACTTATTTTATTTGTGTATAATAAAAACAGAATCATCGTGAATTAGGCGCTCTACGGCAACGGTGTAAGATGCGCATGCGCGCTAAGCACTGAAGTCAAGAAACCTCAACAAATCTTCACAAACGCAAACGTCGGATAGAGCGTTTGGCTTGGTTTGCGTAGGCTTTCAAACGCCTGTAGCCGATCCAACCGAGTGTCGGTTTTTGGTTCCAAACCAAAGGGGGGTGCCACAAGCGCTTGGGACTCGTGCAAATATTTGTGCGCCCTGAGTTTCGCTTATGTACTGGTGGCGAATGGACCTAAGTTTGTTCATTAATAATAATCTGGGCCCAGCTGGATTCTAGTACTGTACAATAATAATAATAATAATAAATGGCCTTTATTGGTCATAACATTACAAAATAATTGCTTAATAGGAAGAGAGTGTCAGCTTACGCTGTTTTTCAATCCGACAGCGCAATTAAATTGCATTCAGCTCAACTCAGTAGTCAGTAATCAATGGGTAAACTCTTTTGAGCTGTTCAACTTAACAGCAAGAAACTTACGCTGTAGTTCATATTTCTAGTAACTTATAAGTATGCGAATTAGAGAAATATGTTCAATAAGTAAAATATCGTTTTTACTTCAAATATATAAAATATTAACGATTCAGTAGGACAAGTTGATCTGGATTTTATGAATCAACAAGGTGGTCCCCGGGAGCGGGAGGTTTTAAATACTTTATGATTCTAAACACAATTTAATTTAAATAAAATACAGTATAACATAACAAGCTAGTGACATGGCATTTTTATTTCTTAAAAATAATACCGTGTAAATGTCCTTCCCTTCTCTGTATGCACTCTTTAATTCTTCCATGAAAATTCGCCATAACACGATGTAAGATATTCGCAGCAATTTCTTTAATAATGTTTCTTTTAAGCTCCTGAATGGTTCTTGGTTTATTAATGAACACAAAAAGTAATGGCAAGCCGTTAGGGCTGACGACTTTGGCGGCCAGTCAATATCTCCTCTCCCAACTTAATGACGCTCTCGGGGTGTGTGAAGCAGCACCATCCTGCTGGAACCATGTCTGATTATTATGTGAAAATCTGCTTGAGCGGTAACTCAGAAACTCGTTTATCATATCGGTTAAACGCACAGAGTTAATGGAAACAGCATTCTCATTCTCGCCTTCAAAAAAGTAGGGCCCTATAATTCTCACTGAAGACATCGCACACCATATCGTCACTTTTGGGCTATGTAATGGTTCTTCGTCTAGCTCCTGTGGGTTTTCTGAACTCCAATAGCGGCAATTTTGTTTGTTGGTATGTCCGGATAAATGGAAATGCGCCTCGTCAGACATCCACAAATGCGGATTTCATTATCAAACAAGGTTTCAGCAAAACGCAAACGAGCCAGGATGACTGTTGGATTCAGGGCTTGGACAATTTGAATTTAGTATGGATGAAGATTGAGGTCTTGCAAGATTCGAAGTAAAGATGTCTTACAAATTCTTAACGCTTAGGCTCGGGTTGAACGTTTTAGACTGTGTTCCACAGATATTCTTACACGATCGATGATTTCAGGCATTCTTACACTTTTCTTTGGTTCGTTATGCTTGACATTGATAGCTGAATCTGTTTGTTCAAAATTACGAACCCTTTTCTTTATAGCATAAGCCTAAGAAACTCTGCCATGTCGACCAATTTGGAAATAAAGTCGGAAATGTCGCTGAGCGGCAACCACACAGCTATTGTTTGTATAGTACGACTTGATTACAAATGCACGTTGCTCACCAGACCACTGCTCCATGATTACTAAATGGCATACAGTGACAGATAATTTCAAAAACCAATCCATAGCCAACTATGCATAGTTACGGAATAACAACATTGTCAAAACTTCCCGCTCCCGGGGACCACCTTGTATAATACCCATTATCTCCTTGGTCCTACTTTTTGTTTTCTTTTGCTAATTTTTATGTTTCTAGTTATTTTTAATAAGTTATGTTATGGTAGACACAAGTTGCTTGCCACTTCGGAACACACCGAAGCACCCACAAAAATATGTATGGCAACGATTACGGCAAAGCGAAAGATTGTCCGGGTTTGAAGTTTTCCGTAAGTGCCAAGCGTGCAGACGTAGATGCTTTAGTTATTCGGTTCATGCGATCTTATGGGGTTATTTTGCTCAGGATATCAATATACGAAAGTCACTGATATCAAAAAGCAACGATATCACAGAAATTAAAAAATTACTATATCGGCCATCTTTAATCTGCATCTTGCATAAACTAGATAGAAGGGCGTCAAAAGTTTGATCCTCTTAGTCAGTTGTACAGTGCGTTAAACAAAAATCTAGGATTATAAGAAAGCTATCGTTTGTTCTAGCTAAAAGGCGCTGAGTAGAGAAAAATAGAAAAGATACTTTACGAAGACACCATTAGCGGTTTAAAGGATACGACGAATGGCCACTGCAGCTGGGCAATGTTGCAAGTATCCCCATTTAAATGTCTTTGTCTGGCCATTGACGCTAATGATCATTAAGGAATGGGAAATGTTGATGAAAAAAACGACAGATGAAAAATTTTTCTGTATTTGTAATGATAAAGAAATAACTTATAAACAACAATTAGGATGGCATAGATAAATTATTATAACCTGGAACCTACAATGGGGTCATAACTTTTGCTTCTTTATTCTCAGAGACACGGGTGATATATTACTCAACGTTAAAAAACGGTTTATAGCGTTTGCGTTTAGCTTCCGAAATTACATTAATGCTTAACATGCCGACTGGGAGGGGCTCGGAGATTTCTTCTCTAGCTTTCCTTGAAAAGATGTCAGTTTCACGTCGGAATGGAGGAATACATCCCTCACACAGTGAAAGTGCCTAGACCAGGGTCCAACGGCTGGTTTAACAAATCGTGTGACGCTGCTCGTCAGCAGAAGATCAAGGAACACAGAACCTTCTTGCAAAACCCCACTACAGAGAACAGACAAGCCGACGTTGAGTCCAGAAACAAATATAAAGCAGCGGTTAGCAATGCCAAAAACCAGCATGATATCAAAGGTAGGCACAGGGTAATGTAGCAGCGCAATGGCAGTCGGTCTTTCTGGACACTGGCCAAGCAAATTGAAAAGAACTTCTCACACAGTAGCCTTCCACCACTTACGTGTCACGATGGAACTATTGTATTCAACTCATAGGCCAAGGCGGAAGTGCTAGCCAAGATCTTTGCTGCCAAGTGCACCATGGACGTCCCCCGCAACAACCAAGTGCCGTCAATTCTAAGCGGGAGGTAACATTCAGGCATAAGACCGTAAGACGAGTGCTCTTGTCGCTCGACATAAACAAAGCTTCTGGTCCTGAAAACTGGAAATTTGCTCATGTCCAACCCATCCCAAAAAAGGGATCTAAGACCGACCCTTACAACTACAGGCCTATAGCTCTCCTTTCAGTTTTATATAAGGTGATGGAAAGGTGCATAAATCGCGAGCTTCTGGACTACCTCGAACGTCACGGCTTGATTAGCGACAGGCCTTTGTCCCGAGGGTGTCGAGATTGTGGAACAATCTACAAGAGGAAGCTTTTCCCAGTTCTATTAATCTTAGGCAGTTCAAAAATCGTATTAATAAAATTTCTTTCGGATCATCATAGCAGCCGCGGTGTTCCGGCATTTAGGCTTCTGCCTGCGCGGCTGCTTCCATATAAAAAAAAATATAGGTATATTCTTCAATTTACCGGTGGATTCCATCACTGATGGATCCGGTGAACTTATGGTTGTCAGCTGTTGCGATGACGTCAGCAACCGGTTCCATTGAATGGTGGTTAATAAAAAGACGCATTTTTAGCCTTCAGGTTGCTGTTATATGAAAAAACCTAACCTTTGTTTTATCGTGAATGGACACTTGTTAATGTGAACTTCGTATCATTTAAAGTCATCATGGCAATGTACATAGCTGTTAGTATTGTGGTGGAACGTTTGTTAAGCGATTCGAGTGATGATTCGGATGAAGAAGTTATCCAGTGGAGAGAAAGAGCAAATTTTCAGATATCTATGCATAAAACATTAAATTTCACGCCACTCGTATGCTGTAGCATAACTTCAATCTTTTCTTCTTCCATTTTTTACACAAAACTGTAGTTGTCAAAAAATGATAAAATGTAGGGGTTAGAATATCGTGGATCAACCGAGCCCGACGTCGGTGGATGCTGTCGGCACCGGTGGCATATCCACCATCAATATAAAGACAAGTTTGATGTACAACCGGTCGTTCCAGCGGAAATTAAAGGATGCCATATTTGGTTAACCGGTTGCTCCGGTAGCTCAACCGGTGAATTAAAGAATATACCTTATTACATTGCTTTCCATTGTATCATCCTTTGTAGTTGCTTTAGCGACATTTTATTAACATTTTCCGGACGATCATCATAGCCCGTAGCACATATTATGCAGTGCTTTTCAAAAATATCTCTCCTACTTGTTTTTTGAACAGCAGGGATATTTCGTATCTTGAAAGTGACATTATGTTGTTTTTTTTTTGACATTATATAGATTTTTTCTGACATTATGTAGGTTTTGCTACAAGACGTCAAATTAGCACTAGCTGTTGTCACTTATTGTGTACTCGTTCCGTAGCTGTACGTGTTGCCTAAACGTCATGATGCTTCAGCTATCAATGTTTGGGTGATGTAATATCTGCTTCAAAGGTTGCATTATTGGTGATCCAAGCTGTATGTATAAGGAAGGAAATGGCAGTGCATAGGTGCATAGTGAGGATTTGTGTACCAATAATCTGTGTTGATGTTAATTCCATTGGTTTCTTGTCTCAAATACACTTACTTGAGATGTATACAAAGCTAAAAATTAGTTGTCTATCCGGTTTTACTTATCCAACCTGGAAATTACATAAGCAAATTTGCTGAATTTAAAAAAAAGGGCGATAAGAAAGTAAAATCCCTGGTTGGTGAAGTATATTAAAAATAGCAAGTCAGAAAACATGGTACATACAGAAATTTACAGTCATTTAAATTTTATAAAAATCTATTTTACGATGAAGTAGAAAATAAATCAGCGCCCTGGATGTGAGGCACCGCGAAAATATTTTGTATGTGATGCGTCATTCCCAATTCTTTTGTGTTATGGCTTAATCTTACAAAACGCGGGTGCGGTGATGATTTGCATCTCAGCACTTTTGAAAACGCAAAAAAAACGGGGAAATCATAATGTATAACTGTAAGCATAACTTCTCTTCAGAAAGGACGACTCAAATAACCTGACTGGCACAGCTAATAGATATAATTCGTGGGCAGCATATTCAGTGATAACTTTCTCACATAGCAAATACGAGTATCATTGATTTTATACACATGCACACCAATACACAGAATAATCCAGGTGTGATCTTGTTACTCTGCTACTCAACCTCACATGTTCCCTCTCTTTACAGACTATCTCGGAACTTTGCAACCAACAAATCATGATGGGGAACTGACTTTTAGCTTGCAGCATGGTCATTGAACGTGTCGTGTCTTTGAGACATTCCTCCATAGATGAACGCTTTTGGTGACGCTCACAGCGCTCATAGCGAGCAAACGCGGAATTTACTATTTGCACACTAGGAACTATCTAGGCAGCAAGTTGACAGTTTTTCGTTTTCTTTTTCCTTGACGTTTTATAGGTTTTTTCGACGTAACTAATTGATTCGTGAATACCATATCTTAGCATAAAAATGGCAGTGGAGAATTTTCAGATGGCAGCTGGACGCCATTTTGGATCATTCTTTCCAAATAGAATGGTTGGTCACGTGGTACCTCATTTCAAAGGACCTTATGAGTACTTTATGGCCCTAGAATGTAAAACTACTATTTTCCACAATGGCGACTGGGTGGCTGTCAAAGTTCATCATTTTGTATATTGAGTCGCTTACACCTCGACAACCAATTATCATATACTATGTGTATATCAATATTCTTTCCTTGAAAGGGTCTATCGAATATGTAATAAAACATAAACTCTATTTTTCAACTGATTATAGCTCATTGCGTATTCAGATAGACCTTTAGACGATTGATATACTAAAACGTATTGATGACTAGGTGTTAAGTTATAAGCAGTTCTATACATATGCTCAGCATTGGCAGCCTGCCAGTTCAACATTTTGAAAGATAGCGATTTAGTATTATAGGGTCATAATATACTCCTCCCAGCTTCGAATTAATGCATCACATGACCTTATTCTATTCATAAGAATATCACAAGATGACGCCCAGCCGCAATCTTTGGATTTTCAACTGTTATTTTTCCGTTAACGAATAATTCAAAAAATAAGATGGGAACACCTTTCCGAATAGCACTATATATTATGTTTTTCTACTTGACAACACACGAAATAAATCAATATTCCAAGCTTTCCAAGTTATTTTTTTTTTCATTTTTTACGATTCCAAACATACAAAAAAAGGTACCCTAATTCTACGAATCCTTTCTGAAGGAATTTCTAGCTTTTAAACACAACTGCTACTCGGAGAGTGCGTGAAGCTACAGTCTATCAACAGGGGTAATGAGTACATATATTCCGTTAATATCAAAAAAAAGATTCCCTATTCTTGTACATGGCCTCCGGTCTATAACACATTCTGCTTGCCCCCAATTGCCGGTTATCACCGCCAATATGTTGTCGCGTGCATAATCCGCCGACGTTTGTCAACGCCCGAAGGGCCCGCATCATCTCAGATGGAGATGTGTCCTATTTAAATGCAAATTCCATATTTGTCACCTTGAGAGATCCGCGCAGCGTCGCGTCAAGCCGCACAGC